GGGGGGGCGGGGGGTTGATGTGGCCCAAGGTGACAGGTGAGGGAGCAGAGGTGGCTGTTCCCAGGCCAGGGGCCCTGCTTCAGGCCTGTCACTCTAGAGGGAGCAAGTGGGGCTGCCATGGGGCTTCAGGGTGTCCTGTCCGGAGGGTGACAGGTCCCAACCTATCAGACCCCTCCAGGTGGGCTCCTTCCGTGAGGAAAAGAAAGGAGAATAGATGGGCATAGGCTCCCTCCAGCTCGTCCTGTATGCAGGCCCCACCCAGGGTCCTCAAGCTGTGTCTGTCACTGAGGGAGTGTCCTTGAAGTGAGTGTGCAGGGGGAGTGGGGGTGACAAGGACGGACCCCTGGATGGCCTAGGTCTGACGATAGGCTCTGTCATTAACCCCTGTGTACTTCAGTTTCCTCCTCTGTAAACATGGACTAATAGTCGCTCTTGGGGGGTTGCTGAAAGGGTGAATTGTGTCCTGTTAGACATACAGGAAATACTCGTAAATGCGTTACCAGGTAGCTCAGGCTGAATCACCTGAGAACATGTGACACCTGAGCAGGTGAGGTGCATGGCCAGCAGAGCAGTGACCACAGTGGGACCTTGGCTAAGCCACAGTGCACCCAGCCCCCACCAGGTGAGTGCACCCCGGGTCAGCCAGACAGCAGGTTGCAGTAATGGTGACCCCAGGAGCCCTAGCACCTGTCCACATCACAAGGTGAGAGGCAGCTGGGGCCTTCCCCTCTCTCAGCCTGGGTCACAGACAAGCCCTCTCCGTCCCACCCACCAGAGTCCAGACACACAACCAAATCCCAAGCAAGGTCAAAGGTGAGAAGGAGATGCAAATAACGCAAAACACCATATTTTACTTAAATAAACTGAGCCCCTACATACTTTTCCACGGCTAGATGACCACAGCAGAGCAGAGAGCCCCGACACCCACAGGCCGGGGTCCACAGGCTGATGGCCACCTCCAAGCACGACCCAGCCCAAGCACAATGGAGCCCTCGCTCTGTCTCTTGCCACCAGTTCAAGCTCAAACCGCGTCCCGGCTCTCTCCCAGCCCGACAGGGGCCCCAACCCTACGCATCGTCAGCTCACTCCTTCACTCAGCGCCGGCTGCCTGGAGCTGCCCCCACCCTCGGACGGTCCATCATTATCATGGTGCCCTGACCCTGCTTGGGGCATCAGGGACCCAGGTCCCAGCCTTTCTGGAGGGAGGTCTGTTCAGGGAGGCTTTACAGAGGAAGGGTCCTCAAACACAACTTGATCTTAATCTCAACCCCAGTCCAAAATTCAATCCCCGCCCTGACAGTAAGCTCACCTCAGAACAAAAAGGACCCCAACCTAAGACCAGCCCTAGCTGCTTGCTGTTCGCTGTCATTTTAAATTTTCTTAAGTGGTGGGTTCCACACTCATGACAGAAAGAGGAGGCTGGGATTCTGCTCGAGAGCGAGCCACGGGCAGGAAAAGCTGGGCCAGCCGTGCAGAGGCAGCTGCGAAGACAGCCCCTGTGTGGCCAGGTGACTGCAGGGGTGGCCTCGGGCCAGAAAGTGCTCTTTCCAGAAGGGGAGGCCCACCCACGCCTGCAGCCCCAGGCATCCCACACCCACCGGTGACATGGGAGTGGGTGGGGACCTCCCTGAGGCTACATGTGACGGCTGTGCCCATCCTCCTGCCTGCCCGGGAGTTGACACTAGGGGGCATGTCCCAGTTTTCTTTCTGGGATCACGGGCCACACACACACCGAGAGCTCCGAACCCCTGGCGCTGAGGACAGCAGTGGCCTGTTCCCATGTGCGCCCCATGACTGTGCTGTCCTTACATGCACACTGACGTGACCATGTCTGACACTATGGGCCCCACAAACTAGTGCTTGTTCCAGGCTGGAGTACAGCGCTGAAGGTCTGTGGCTGAAATCCACTGCCCCAACTGACCCTTCCTATGACCTACTGGGGAAACGAACCTGGACCTAACTTCAGCCTCCTCTCAACCTCAGTTGATCCCTAAACCCAGCAATGGCTCCAAACAGCAGCCCTAACCTAACCATGCCCTTGACCTTCACACTCTGTCCGCTCTACACAGGCCCTTCCCTCAGCACATCCCCATACCTGCTGGGGTCGTGACGGGCCCCAGAGGACCCCCACAAACCCACAGTCAGCAGAGACCTGAAGTGGACAGAACTCACCAACGTCGGAGTCTTTGTGGGTCTTGATGACCTCCGCCAGCTCAAAGTTCCCCGCAATGATGGCCACCTGCAGTGGGGGCCAGGAGAGAGGCTTAGCCACACCAAAGTCACCGCCCCCTCGGTCTCTAACAGCTCCTTCTCGGGCTCCTGTGTGGGGTCCTCCACGGTTGCTGGGCCCAGGTTCAGAGCCAAGCCCCTGTCGAACACACCAGCCCGGTGTGCCTGGGCCTGAGGAGTGTCCTGGGAGACAAGGCTCTCAAAGCTAAAACCGGGACAGTCCTGCATACACTGGGCACACCGGTCACCCGACCTGTTCTCTCCATAGCCCCTCCACACACCCCATCTTTCCTGTCTCAGCCACGGCCCCGCGCTGTCTCGCACCTGTCACCGTCCCTCTCCCCTTCCCGCCTCCCTGCGTTTTGTCTTCCAAAGAGCCCTTCCAGACGGGCCTTCGCCGCGGCCTCTCCACCTGTCTAGATGACTGCAGTGGCCTGGCCTGCTCTCCTCCCCACATCTCCTCAGAGGCCTCTGAAGGCCCTCGCTGCCACTGAGAACAGAGTCACAGTGCCCTCCTTGGTCCCAAAGTCCCTGTGACCTGGTCCCCAACTCCCCCGGCAAACTCCAGGCCACCTGGACATCCATCCACCCCGTCAAGCCAGTGCTGAGCACCAAACCCAGCCAGAGAAAAGACTCAAAAATGTCACCTAAATTAAGTCAGGGGCTGAGACCACCCCTCTCACCCCTGGTTCGGCCTCTGCACTCCGCCTATCTCTGGGGGTCAGACTCACACCTCTTCTCCCCTGACCCCAGAGCCCTCTGTCCCCCATCTCTCCCTGGAAGTGAAAGACTTCACCATCCGCAATGAACACCCCCAGGGGCCGGCCTCTGTGCTGGCCCACCAGTCCCCCACCTCACCCTGGGGAGACCCTAGCATGAGTTCCCTTATCGCCTCAGGGGAGGAACCACGGTCCGCAGAGGTCAAGTCACACAGCGACAGATGGACAGACGCCCCTGGAGCAGCTGTCGCTCCTGTACCTGGAAAGCCGTCTGGCTGTTGTAATTGCGGACATCCTTGTTGGCTCCACGGAAAAGCAAGACACGAGCACAGCTCTCCTGTGGGGAGGGTTGGAATGGGGGTCAGGCTGTGACAGCACACGCACACACGGGGTGTACACACAGAATAAGCAGCTCAGGTGCACATGTGCAAGTCCCACTGGTCAGAGAGCCAGATGCACAGTTCACACCTGGCTGTTTAGAACACACGTGTTCAGGGAACAAACATGCACACAGAGGCTTACAAGGCCACAGCTGACTGCAGCACACAGGACGCACACTCACGGAGTGACAGGCTTGGGCATGTGCGTACATGCGCGTGTACACACACACACACGCAGTCACACCTGGTTGTAGAGAGCGCAGATGTGCAGGGCCGTGTTCCCTGAGGCATTCTGGGCCCCCATGTCAGCCCCGTAGAACAGCAGGTGCTCCAGATGTTGCACGTGTCCAAAGCGGCAGGCCTGCGGGAGGGGCAGGGCTGCTGGGTCCCTGGACAAGCCCAACGGCGCCCCCCACCCAGAGGCGAGACTGCCCACCCCATGCTCCCTGCCCACCTGGTGGATCTCCTGCCAGCCGTTCTCATCAGTGGTCCCCAGCTGGGCGTGGTCGTGCAGCAGCAGCTCACAGCAGAGGGCATCCCCGCCCCCCAGGGCGCTGTGGTATAAGGGTGTCAGGCCGCGGCTGTCCTTATAGTCGGGAGAAGCGCCCAGGTCCAGCAAGGTCTGAGGGGGAGGAGCCTCAGTGTCCAGGCTGGCCCCAGCTTCCTCCCCATCCTGGGCCACACGCGCATCCAGGCCAGGACCCCACCGGACCAACCGTCAAAGCTGCAGCGTTACGCTGGCGTGTGGCACAGTGCACGGCGGTGAGCCCGTCGCGAGTGCGGAAGTCCAGGTGGGCACCGCCGTTCCTCAGCACCTTCAGCAGGTCGGTGGCGTTGTCCAGCTGGGCCGCGAGGCTCAGAGGACACTCTGGGTCAGGGACAAAGGAAGGTTACGGCACAGCCGCTCCAAGGCCCCTCCCCTCCCCGCTGTGCTGCTCACCTCCTGAGTCAGGATCGTGGAAGTTGGGGTCCAGCCCCTTATCCAGCAGGCGGGCCACCTTGTCCGTGCTGTGCAGCTGGATGTAGTCCATGAACTTTTTCAGGTTCGCCTGGAACATCAGGCCCCCCTGGTCAGCCCCACATCACAGCCACCACCATCTGACCGTCACCTCCCTTCCACCAGCCCCAGGCCACCTGTGGGGCATCTACTGCATTGCCCCAGCTTCTCTCCCTGCCCCATCTTGCCCTGCGTCCCCGTCACTCCCAAGGTGTCCTGTTCCTTCTCTGACCCATCTTCCTCATGAGCTCACCCCAATGGCAGATTCCCTCCCTCCCCGGGGGCGGGGGGGGGGGGGGCCTTCTCCATCCCCAGGGGGCCCCTCCTGTGACTGACTTTAACTGCCCAGCATGCAATTAATTCACTCAACAAAGCCTCACTGAGCCCCTGCTGGTGCTCCAGATGCCAGAGGCCCCAGGCCTTCTAGAAACACTCAGAGCACACTGGGAACATGGAGGGCACCATGGGAACCACTCCACAGGAGGTGGCCTCCTCCAGTGGGTGAGGACGACAAAACAGGAAGAAGGGCTGATGGCTGAGGGGTGAGACCTCAGCTGGACCCAGGGGGGGTGGTATGATGGTGGGGACCTGCTGGAGCCCAGGCAGCAGAAACACAGGGCTTGGTAAGGAATGGAAACTCACCCTAAAAACAAGTGAGACACATTGAAGGTCAAAAATCACCAGTGTCTGTAGGTCACTGAAGACAGTTTTGGAGGAGAGGTAATCATGGGAAGAACCCATGGTGACAAGGTCACACCAGGGCCAGTGGAGGGAGAGGGGGACCTTTCTTTCTACAACAGTCTCTGCCCAGCCACAGTCATGTCTGCTGACCACCAGTGCCCTGGGGCAGCAGAGAAGCCTGTCACGGAGGCTCCAAGGTCACAGAGCGGTCACTGGGGCACAGGGGTGACAGTGCCCAGATCCCTCTCCTAGGTTCCAGAAAAGTGTCCAGCAAGCAAATGTCCACTGGTCCTCAGGAGCCTGAGGCGGGAGCTCGGGGGATGTACCTGTGGGAAGGGGCCATGGCACCCATGCTGTGCCCCTCCTACATTCAGAGAAGGCAGCAGGTACCCCCCAGAGAGCATTTGGGGTCAGGCCCACCAAGCAATGGTGCCCTGCAGTAACCCCACACGTGTGCCTGGGCACAGAGCCCCAGAGTTAGACAGATGTGGGTCCAGCCCCAGCTTTACTGGCTGCACAGCTGTGAGCAAGTCAGTTAACTTCTCTGGGACTCAGTATCTACAAAATGTGGTAAAAATAGTTCCTCCCAGGGGAAAACTGATGAGGTGCCTAATTCCAAGTGCCCAGCGCTGGGTGACCACCAAGTGCGGGCTCCTTGCTCTCCCCATCCCTGCCCAGCTCCCCCAGTGACCATATCGTGTGTCTGTTCACTTTTCTCCCACCAAGATACACTCTCGGACTCCACCCGACGAAGCCCACCAGAGAGGTCAACAAGAATGTCATCTGACTGGAACCTACCCCATAGCCACGGTGCCCAGAGTCTGCACCCAGCCCTCCAGCCGCCCCCAACACCCGCTCTGGGCCTCTGACATTGGAGAAAACAGGCAGAGCCAAAGCTGAAGGGCTGTGGTTAGCCCCAAGCTGGGGTGCGGGGTGCTGCGAACTAGGGCCAGGACTTCAAAAAGGAGCTTTCAAAGGGCAGTTTTGACATCACAAAAGCCAGTCAAGGTTGAGGTGGGGGAATACAGGCCATGGGACAAGAAGAAACTTCTAGAGTCTCCTCCCTCTGGCTGCCTCCTTACCTTAGTGTGAAGCTTTGCAAACTGCTTATCGTCGATGAGGTTCTGGGCATAAACTCGCCTCTTGTATCGAAACTGCTCAGTTAAAGAAAAGGCAGGGAAAAGACACCCCCCTGGGCTGAGCGAGCGAGTGCACAGAACTGCTCCCCCAGCTCAGGCCTCACTGCTCACCCACCCCAATTACAGAGCCCTTCCTTGGGCCACACGAATCCCACACACACTGTCACGGACACAGAGCAACGCGAGGCTCGAGGTGCCAGACGCCTAGCTGTCCCGGGCCTGCAAAGGCCTTTCTGTCTCCTTCCTGTCCCCAGGACTCCCTGGAAAACCACACTCTTCTTCCAAGACCTGATTCCAGGCTTACCTCCCCAGACACCCCTACCATGTCCCTGTCCCACCAGAGGCCGACTCTGAGCTAAGCTGCCACGTGCTTCTTTCATTGCTCACTGCACTTGCCGTCCCCGGTCCAAACCATGACTATATCCCCAAGCCTGAGCCCGCACTCCAAGGCGACATAAAGGGACCAGCAAACGAGGAAGGCTTAGGTCTGCCTTCACAGACTCCCCGCCGGGGAGGGGAACAGATGAGCCCGCAGATACCGCGCCGCTCGCTCCTCACACTGCTCTGGGCGCTCCGGCTCAGGGCTCCCACCGCACCTGCTGCCCGCGGGCCCGGCACACCGCCCCCCACCGCTTCGCACGAGCTCCTCGCGTGCGTGTCCGTGCCCTTCACCGCGCGGGTCGCGGAGCTCGGCGGTTGCGCCCTGCGCGCTCTCCCTCACCTCCAGGTAGGGCAGGGGCGTGTCCAGGTTCGGCGGGTAATCCTGCAGGAGCCGCTCCTCGTCCAGGAACTTGCCGGCGCGGCCCCGGGAGGGCGGCTGGAAGAGCCCGTAGTTGAGCGCGTCCTGGAGGCTGTGGTTGAGGGCGCAGAGCACGCGCTGCTTGGCGGCCCACACGGGCGCGGCCGGGTCCAGGCGCAGGCACTTCTGCGGGCGGAGCGGGCTCGTGAGCGCCGACCGGCCCCGCCCGGGGCCCCCGCGGGAGACCCGGGCTCCGGAGCCCGGGCCTCGGGAGCCCACGCCGCGGACCCCGCGCCTCCGCGACCGGCGGG